GATCTAGCCCTGGTTGCAGAACCTACCATTTAAAAGAAGGTTGTTTAAAAAGTTTAAGGAAGAGAGACGAAGCTGCTACAAAGTCGTGAACACTGTGTATGCTTTTTATATAAACTAGCCAACTTCCCCGGCAGTGCCCACGTCCTTCAGGATAGGACCTTGGGGATGTGGGAGGGTGCAGGACGCTGGGAGCCATAGGCTAGTTCTCTCCCCCACATCCACCCCCGCAGTCTGCCTGGGGCATGTTTTTTCCTCTCTCTCCGCCAAGCCACCTTAGGTTTGGGGTTGGGGAGCTACTTGCTGGCAGGCAAGATGGCGGAGCCCCAGCCCTGCTGTCCACTCCCGTGGTGGTACGGCTTCCCCCAGAGGAGACTCTGCAGGAGAGCTTTCCCCTGCGGACTCACTGCCCCTCAGTGGCCACTCTCAGTATCGTGTCCCACCTCTCTGTGCCCCTCCCTTTGCATGTTATGGAAAACAGTCCCATTCCCGGGGTTTCCGGGTCTCCTGGCACAACCAAACCCTGTTACTTTAAGGGAGGAGAAGAGGATGCTGCATACCAAATGTGGTGGCCCTGGGTCTACCACATTTAGGAGGAGTTCTTGAACAAATGGACTCTCAGACAAACTAGATAGATAGATGGCTAGATGACCTAGTCATTTGCCGAGTCGCCATTCGTCACATCTACATTAAAGTTGGGGTTTTCTAAGCAGTCTGCTGGAGATAGGTGGCCAGATGTGCCAATAGGGTCTAACTTCCTTGACTCCTTTGACAATCCCACCACTTACTACATTTAAGACTCTGGGGGCAGCTCGGCATCTGGTGTACCACTGTTCTGTCCCAGAGAGTCAAGCTGAGCTGAGACAAACTACAGTAGCTGAGAATCTGGAGGCAAAACTGGGCGTTAGGAGGCCTTAGGCTGAGTCTGCTACTGAGCTACTGTTAGACCTCAGAGAAGTCATTTCTCCCTCTGTGCCTCTGTTTCCCTTCTTATTCCTCAGCTATTTCTTTGGGAGTAGGGGCCAGTCACTATCATAGACTCATAGAACACTAGAAGTGGAAGGGACCTCGAAAGTTCATCAAGGCTAGTCCCCTGCCCTCATGGCAGGTCCAAGCACAGTCTAGATCACCCCTGACAAATGTCTGTCTACCCTGTTCTTAAATATCTCTAATGATAGAGGTTCCGCTGCCTTCCAAGGCAATTTAATCCAGTGCTTAACCCTGACAGTTAGGAAGTGTTTCCTAATGTCCAACCTAAAAATCCTGTGCTGCAATTTAAGCCCGTTGCTTCTTGTCCTATTATCAGACGTTAAAGAGAATAATTTTTCCCTCCTCCTTGTGACACTCTTTTAGGCACATGAAAGCTGCTATCATGTCAAGTAAAAAATCAAAAAGGTGTCATGTAAAAAGTGGAAACTAGGACAAATTACAAAGGATGAATATACGCAAACAATACAGGCATGCAGGGCAAGATTAGAAAGGCAAAGGCAATAAGTTGCCTAGGGAGGTTGGGGAATCGCCATCTCTGGATATATTTAAGAGCAGGTTAGACAAAGATCTATCAGGGATGGTCTGGACGGTATTGGGTCCTGCCATGAGGGCAAGGGACTGGACTCGATGACCTCTCGAGGTCCCTTCAAGTTAAAAATTGTTCTATGATTCTATGTCCCCTCTCAGTCTTCTCTTTTCCAAATTAAACACACCCAGTTTTGTCAGTCTTCCCTCAGAGGTCATGTTCTCTAGACCTTTAATCATTTTTATTGCTCTTTTCTGGACCTTTTCCAATTTGTCCATATCTTTCTTGAAATGTGATGTGCGCAGTACCTCTCTCAAAGTGAGCTCTTGCCCTCAGCTCATACCAGTAGATGCTAACACAATAAAATGCTTGCTAACCCAGCCCTAACGGTGCAGAATGCTCAATCGCCCCCTATCCTCACCCAGAAAAAGCTTAGGGATCAGGTGGAGGGGTAGAGAATCTGTCTTCACATTTCTGGACCCCACCCAACTTCCTGTCCCTTCTGTTCCCACATAGAAGAATTGTATTTACATTTAAAAAACCCTCTAAACTGTCAAATGCAGCTCGCTAGGGATGTAAAGTTCAGAGACCCACACCTGCCTTCCCAACGCATACAAAATTCTCACTCTGGCTTTAAAACAATCACAACCAAGGAAACAAGCTGACACATTTAATTTTATTCTGGAAGATGAGACCTGATATAGCAGGTAGTTGCATTTTTCTTATTCTCTGGTAGCTGCCTACAGACAGTTTTTAAATAATTCTCCCTTTGCACCTTCAGAGAAATAATCGGTTTGCTTCTGAATTAATAAGGGGTCATCATAAGCCCTTCTAGCATCTTTGGAAGCTTCTGAGCTAACTTTTTCCTTACCATTATGGGCCTGATTTCCAGGGACGCCCATGAGGATTTTGCCATTGGCTTTGACGGGAGGGGAGTTGGTTCTTTGTGCACAGTGCTAGTGAAAGAACAATGTTCACGATAAAAAGTGATGTAAAGGGTGTGGCACTTGCTATGGGCCTTGTCACTGTAGTGTCTGTGAGTTTTTCAAACAATAATGAATGTGCTGTGCTTTGTTTTCATCTTCCCCTCTACAGTACAGTGCAGGATGGCTTAGGGTGTGTCTACACTGCACTGTACTGTAGAGGGGAAGATGAAAACAAAGCAACACAAATTGAGCTACATCAATTGCGTATCTTATTTCGAAATAGCTTATTTCGAAATAGGGAGCATCTACACAGCACTTAGTTTGAAATAGAACACTCTTCCTCCAACTTCCCTTACTCCTCGTACGATGAGGGTTCCAGGAGTTGGAGTAAGAAGTCCTCCAGCTTGACAGTATTTTGACACGATTTCGAAATAACTGCCTGCTGTATAGATGCAGACTAAGTTATTTCGGAATAGCGCTAGTTCTTTCGAAATAGTGTTGCAGTGTAGATGTACCCTGATTAGATGTTGCCAATCACACAGTGAACCAGCCTTTCTTTCTTTAATATATGTGCAGTGCCCTGATCACCACTGGAGGGGAAAGCAGCCAACTCCGGCTAAAGCATCTCCTTGTTTTGCTGTCTGGATCAACCAAACCACGTAGGATAATTAAACACCTTCTGCAGCTTTCCACATCCTGTCTCCCACCTTTCCCTTCCGTTCCTGCAATTGGTAGCATGTGGGCAGACTGCTGTGCCGATCCCTTCTGAAATCAGCAAGTTCTATGTGGGCACAGTGGTCCGTCTGGGCGCAGTCAATTGCAGGCATGGGGAGTTACGTGGTAACTACTTCAGGCTATGGTATTTTTGCTCTCTCTTTCTCTCTCTCTCTTTCTCTCTCTCTCACAAACACTTTTCACAATAACTTGAACCAGGCTTTTTAAATCTGTTATAAATCTATAAGTAGCAAAGGACCATACTAGCAGAACACATTTTGACTTCACTCATGAAAAAAAATAAGTGGTTCTTGATATTGTTTAAACATAAATGAAGGCTAAATAAAAAAAATGATTGTACTTCGTAATCATGCTGTACCAAATGCCAGTGTACGTATGTGTCTGTTTACCTGTCAATATCCCTCAAAAGCATTTGCATTTTCCATACAAATAATGTCAGCATATATATATTTCCCTTTTGCATCAAGCTATTGTGCACTCCTACAATGTTGCTATATAGAATACAGTTCGTCAAATACTGATAAAAGTAGTGGTCTAGTTGTGTACTAGAAAGACAAGGTGTGGGAGGGAATGTTCCCTATAAGCTGAGTGCTAGGGCAATCCCTCAGTAGAGATTCAAATGCCACCCAGCTGATTAGCAGAGTGCCCACAGCTAGGTTTTTTGTTTCTATTGGTGGTGCAGGCACATGCCTTAGTTCGCATGAACATTTATTCTGCACATGGATGGAAAAGATTAGCGGGACCATTGGGGGAGGTAATATTTTTTTATTGGACCAAGCACTGTTGGTAAAGGAGATAAGCTTCCAGCCTCCACAAAACTCTGCTATCATTGTGGAGTGGTGGCGCCCAAAACTATGGCTCTTGCATCAAAAGAAGTTGGGCCAATAAAATATATGACCTCCCATGCCTTGTTCTTCTTATATCCTGGGACTAACATGGCTACTACAATGCTAGAAATCAATAATAAATTAAACTAACAGGACTTTATTCAATAAATATCTTAATCAGCAGTTATTGTTCAGCCCCTGGGGAGTTTATGTGCATGAAATAAAAATGGCATTGTTATCAGATAAATCATTTGAAGAGAAGCCCAATAAAGTCTATAGGAAGAACTCCATTCGTGTCACCGAGTTTTGGATCAGGCCTATAAAATATGTCCCGAATAACTTTTTTAACTTTATCAGGGCCTCTTGTCAGCACCTCCCAATAGGATTGCAAAGGAGTTTAGTCCCAGAGCCCCAATGTGATCAGTAGCATCGCTGCATGAATTACAATACATCTGCTGCCTCAGAACATCACCCATGGCCAGTAACAATGTCACCGACACAAGTCGGGACAAATTGTATGGAGAGGATATTGGAGAGCAGCTCAAAAGATGCTTGAGGAACCAATGCTGGCTCTGAATGGGACTTGGAAGTGGGATTGGGATGTCTTAGAAAATTGTGCTCTATTGTGTGTGTTGTACATGTCATACAGGTTGACCTTCTCTAGTCCAGAACCCTTGGGATCTGACCGGTGCCGAGCCAGAGAATTTGCCAAACCACAGGAGGTCAAAATTGTGTAGCAGCATTACCAACACTTCCACAGCTTCCTGGGTTCTTAGAAGACATTTAGAGGTAAATTAGAGCTAAATAACAGCACAGAACACTGAAAGCCAGGACTAGTGGCTGTAAACAAACTTTATGGGACCACGGGAAACTTGGCCACAACCATGATAAGTGGACATCTGGCTCACTAAAATCATGCTGGACCACGGATATTGCCAGACCAGAGAGTGCTGGAGTAGAGAGGTCCAACTTGTATATGCCATGCATATTGTGCTTGCATGTAGGCATGGGGGTGGGTGTTTCCAGGTAAAGTAAGGTCATTAACTGGGGCTCCTGCAACACATATAGGAGCTGTGCAGACTCGATCACTATGAGCCTCATCCAAAGCCCACTGAAATCAATATTCAGACTCTCCTGTAGTCTGGTGAACTTTGGACGAATCCTTACCTTCTCTTCAATGGGCACTGCCGGCTTGGTCCATTTGAAAAATATTTTTTCTTACTACTGTTTTACTGAAAAAAAGAAAAACCCTCAGGAACTTGCAACTCAAACCTGTTTCCTTACCAACTACCCTCTGCCTCCTCTGTGCGCGCTGTCTGGCATATTAATGTGAGAGCTCTCTTCTGTGCTGACTCCACAGATTGGTACGCTGGCAGAGCTGGATTAAGGCACAAAATAAGCAAGCTATATTTTAGGGTCTCAGATTATGAGGGGCCTCTATATACAAAAATTACTAGTTTTTCATTGCAGCCTCACCTATCTACCGGTATATAGGCAAATATACAACTTTATTCTTTCTATTTTCATTGTCCTTTCAGTTAGAATAATGCACATTTTTGGTAATGCTATGGGGCCTTTTAAACTTGGCGTAGTTTAGGACATCCTCATGCCTTAATCCAGCCCTATATGCTGGTTTGTTATTATACGATTGCTCATAAATACTGACTTGCTTTCACAACACTACTTTGGAGGGGCAGGGAAAAAACAAAACAATTGCCCTGAAAAAGCCCCTTTATTGTTCCTCCCAATCCATGCGTCACATGGACTTTGCAAACATGAAACTATAGGGGGCGCCAAAGAAGGGTAGATCAAATGTTGTGTCAGCCATTTTAACAGGGTCCCTTTAAAACTGTGAGTGCCGCCTTTGCAATATAATCATCTTGGTGCTCTAATTGGCAGGGTTTCAATGGTTCAGAATGGGTCCTGATCAGGGGGGTGAGCGCTAATCACTGGAGCAAGCTGAAAAAGCAAGTCAATGGATGACCAAAAATATCACCATTGACTGAAGTGAGCAGGTCAGGCGGGGCTAGTATATGGTATTTTTCATCAATGGCAATTGTGTTACCTTGTAACAGTGACCTAGGGTGAAATCTGGCCCTATTGAACTTAATGGTAAACTCATTTTATAGATGGGGAAGACGAAGTAGAGAAGCTAAATGACTTTCTCAAGGCCAGAGGGGGAATCATTATCAGGACCTGGATTAGACTTCCAGAGGAGGTCAGTGATATGCTAAGAACACAAGACCATGCCTCTCTCTAACCACACAGTCAATGAGAATTTACTATGATCAGAAACCCATGTGCATGCATAAGATATTAAGTCTTTTAAATCTACATACTGATCTATCAATGCACTCATAACCCTTATCAGTGTAGTCTCTGAATACTTCCAGTGAGACAAAAAGGGTTCTACAATTGTGTGTGCTATCTTGTTTTTTCCGTCAGCATAGATCTTCTTGAGCTTGTAAACTCATTACTGTGCCGAATGCACCTTTATCTAAGTCTGCGAGGTGCAGGGTAGATTGTCACCATTGTATGCAGATTTGATAGTAACAATAACATGAGCCATTAACCTTCCTGATTGTGAGTTTGTGTATTCTTGTCTCATCTCCACAAGGAGTGTTTCTTTCCAAGTCCTGAGTGCCAGCAAAAAGAAAAGAGACCAACTATTCCAACTCCAAGTTGTATTGCATACTGCCCTTGGGGAGGAGAGCCCTGTTTAAAATACTTCCAGATCTTGGCTATCACAGATGACTATATTTGGATTATGGGGCAGTAATCTGAGAAACACGTGGCACAAAGCTGTGAACATCAGCAGTTTGCTACTGATAAACAGTTTCACATCTCTAGAGGTAGAGTGAACCCAGCAGCAACCTTGTAAACAGCAACAGATTTCAGTGGGATAAAGCCAGGATTGAGAAATCACTGAGTCCAAATCTAGTCCTGCTTTTCTATGGTCGCCCTACGTGAATGAACCTGTATCAACCATCCTGTTTGATCTTGCTGGTAATTAGTCATTGCAGTATCCCCTTCATTCTCCAATCAGGGTTGTTTGCCTTGTGGAGTTAAAAAAGCCATGAAGCTGTCTCCATGCTCCTGAAGCTATTTGACCAAGTGTCTGAAATCAGGAGCAGCATAAATGGGAGGGGGAGAATCCTCTTTTCATTTTTTGGTGTGGGATAATATGGGATTTTCCCATCCAATCATCAAGACGCAGCATATGTCCTCCATCTTACTGCTGATCTGTTTAGAACGTTGTGCATTTTGAAAGTGAATGGTGCCATATTGTCTGTTGGAGAGTGTCATCTTTCCCTGAATAATTGTGGCTATTTCTCCCCTTGCCCCACCAACCTCTGAGACATAAATCAATGCTACAGCAAGTGGAGTCATGACAATGGAATGATCTCCAGTTCCAGGTGAACCCTGATACCTGACGTATGAGAAGAGCATCCACATGCTGAGAATTCCTTGCTAATTTAAGTTGCTAGTTCATCAAAAACATCCTCCCAAACATGCACAGGATGTATTAAGTTATGGTGTGGTAAGCGATCAGCTTGTCACATTGACATTTCAGTTCCTTGCCAGAAGGTACTGAACCTAGTTATCTCTCTCAAGAAATTAGATCTGTAAGTGTCACACTGCAATAAATTAGTGTAACTGGAAACCTCTCTCCAGGCGCACGAACATCTGAGGACAACTGAGAATTGCTGCTCTCCAAAGAGTGGTATATAAATACATTCTGGACAGAGGAGAGAGGGGCCTGAGTCTAAAACCATCAAAGCCGAATATGGGAGAGATGTGGAGGATTAATCGGCAGAGCTTTATTTTGCAGTTTGAGTTGTTTTCTGTTACCAGCTGGTACAGGTAGAATGAGAAGGAGTCATTCACATGATGTTCAAAAATTGTGGCTGATGATAATTTGTGAGGCTATAAAAGGTTCTGATTTAACTGCAGCTCTGGTAGTTCACGGTGCGACCTTCGAAGCTCCTGCAAACTAAGCACCAGACTTCCTGCTTGATTTAGGGAACCTCCTAGATTCCATACTGCTGCTAATAGAAGAAGGGTTGGCAACTCAATAGGTGGCACTCTTCTTGCCCAACAAGGTGCTAGGAGACTATGCTGATGGAGATGCTGCTCTCGGGATGAGATGTAGAATAAAAATCAAGGGCCTGTGATCCAGTAATAGAGTTCCAGACTATGAGTCAGAAGATCTGAGATTTTTTCCTAGCCCTGCCATTGACTCACTGTTTGATCCTGGGCAAATCAATGAACCACTCTGTGCCTCAGTTTTCCCATCTGTAAGATGGGACTAATAGCCCCCATTTTTGCAAAGTGTTCTGAGATCTTCTAAGAAAGCCTCTAAGGGTATGTCTACACTACCCCGCTAGTTCGAACTAGCAGGGTAATGTAGGCATACCGCACTTGCAAATGAAGCCCGGGATTTGAATTTCCCGGGCTTCATTTGCATAAGCCGGGCACCGCCATTTTTAAATCCCGGCTAGTTCGAACCCCGTGCCGCGCGGCTACACGCGGCACGGGGTTCAAACTAGCCGGGATTTAAAAATGGCGGCGCCCGGCTTATGCAAATGAAGCCCGGGAAATTCAAATTCCGGGCTTCATTTGCAAGAGCGGTATGCCTACATTACCCCGCTAGTTTGAACTAGCGGGGTAGTGTAGACATACCCTCTGTTAGGTATTGAGTATTACAGGGAAATGCACTACAACAGCAACTTCCCTACCTTTGACGAAGTGGGTCTTTGCCCACGAAAGCTTATGCTCCTACACTTCAGTTAGTCTATAAGGTGCCACAGGACTCCTCGTCGCTTTTCCCTACCTTTGATATTCACATTCCCAAATCACATGATATGAGTGAAACACATCCAGCCTGACTTAATCAGCTTCATTAACACTGGTCCTGCAATTGACAGGTAACTTCTTTTGCTGTTATATATACTCTGGATTCTGTAATTTCCATTCCAACTCATCTGATGAAGTGGATTTTACCCACAAAAGCTCATGACCTAATAAATTTGTTAGTCTCAAAGGTGCCACAGGACTGCCACAGGGGTTTTTCTAAGACTAAAGATGCTGACCTCTCTATCCACGCTAAAATTCAACTAGCATCAAAGTTGTTGGGTGGGATGGGGTGGTGTGGTTGGAAAAAATGTGATGTGGACCCATTTTTCTTTGTTTTTAGTTTTTGGAAAGTTCACTTTTTTAGAAATTTTATTGAAAAATGTCATTGACATAGGACAAGACTGTTTACAAATTTGGGTCAAATTTGGCCTGTGGTTTCAACTGAAAAACAAAAACCTGGAAACAAACGTTTTAGAAATACTGAAACGGTTCACCTCAAAATGAATGTACCATTTTGACATTTCATTTTGAATCAACGTGTTCCAAATGAAATGTGAAAAAATGCTTCCTTCAGCCAGAACAACTCTTTCTTTTTCTTTTAATTTGTCAAGAAAACCAAAAACCAAAAAAATCAGTTTGGGTTGGAAATGAAGCAGTTTTTTCCCAAATGTTTTGGGAAACACTAAACCAAAAATAAAGCACCTAACTAACCAAAAAAATCAATTATTTCATTCAGTTCTACTTAGAAGCTAGTAAATGCAGGTGATTTGGTAATGTATTATACACCTTACGAAAGCCAACACAACCTTTAAATTGGCTCCCATACGAACTCTGCACTTGCATTCATGGGGCTTAAAATAGGAAGGACTGCTCCCCATGCCCATATGAAGAGCCCTTCCACAGCCAATGTAGAGCTACACAAGTCCTGTCAGCCCTTGGCGTAGGGACTGTGTTAGGGATGTACTGAGGTGTGTTGCACTACAGTTATTCTCTGCTCTGGGAAGTGGCATGTATGTTATAGCAGCCCCCAAGCCAGGGGCAAAGACCCAGAGAGCACATGAGTAAGCTGGCAATGGATAACAGCTTTGTTGAGAATTTATTGTGATGCAAGCAACTCGGAGCTAAAGAAAAGAACGCTCTACTGAAATATAGCTCCTCTTGGGGGCGAGGCCCGGGCACGTGCTCTGCACACAGCACTAGGTCTGGAGCTCCCTATCACAGATGCTGCCATCCTCTGTCGGCTCGGGCAAGTCCTTAGGGCTTGACGGTGATTTTTCAGCCCAGCCCTGAAGACGTGCACAAGCTGCGCCATCCTGGGATCCGTTGCGACTTGCAGACGCGTCTCTGAATCCGTTTCTCTCTGCATCCTCCTTGCTGAGAGAGGGGTGCTACAGTGATTTGCAGCTGCCCTATTGCGACACATACATGCTGGGCTGAGTGGAGTGTGAGGTGGCATCTGCACTGTGCCTGTTCTTGTCCTTCACTGCCCACTGTACATTCACCAGCACTGCGGGATTAACTGGACACTCCCAGACCCCATGGTCCAGCTCCCCTGCACAGAGATGCAAGGAGGAATTCTTACTCCTCCCATTTCTATGCATGGATAAGAAATCCAAGTGCAACCGAGCTCCGTGTGGAGAATACTTTCCTCCCAGAGTCGGGGTATGGATTGCTTGATCGATGCTTCCAAAGGGCTTTGACTCCAAGTAGGAGTATTAGGGGGGCGGGGGTAGGTTGGACCAGAATTCACTTCCTGTGCATTTTTAATGTGCTGTGCATTACGGTATTTTTGTAAGTTCAGGAATCATTGGTTTCACTGTGCCTATACTTAAAAAAAATAAGTGAAATCTTTAGTTTCAAGTGCAGCCCATTCCCAATTATCTGCTGGGATTGAGGCAGGTAATTCTGCGAAGGAAATGCTGAATGTTCTTCCCCTTTAGAAAAAGCAAGTTAAATAATTAATAATAATCAGAGTTTAATTAAGGCTACTAAATAGTTGCCAGTTATATATTGTGTAATTTTAAAGTTGTTTTGTGTTTACTGGACACGCCTAATAACATAACTAAGGTGGTTAATGTCTCACTTGTAAAGTTTAATTAAGAGCTTTCAGGACGGTCAGCCTAATTAACCAATCTCTAAATCGCAATTCAAGCCACAGAAAAATAACTGCCTGGCTTTTGAAATTAGATTAGATGGAGATTCAGCCAAATTATTCAATCCTGTCCAAGCAGGGCAAGATTTCAAGTGTGCCTATTTCATAATATGATGGATGATCTTTATAGTTAAATGGGTGATGCAAAAAAAAAAAAAAAAAGTCAGTTAAAATAAGGTTCCCATGACATTAGTCTTGTTACCCATTCTCAGTAGGGGAAATGTGGCACTCAAGGCAAGTATTGAAGCCTGGGTAATGTTGATTATTTTGTAATTGCACCGATAGGATCCTGCCATCAGGGCATATGTCAGGACCCTTTTAGAATGTCTGACAGCCTATCTTAGACTCTGCCTCCAGCAAATGTGCGATCTCCAGGGTGTGGAGCAGAAAAGCAGCTTTCTGATGTTATGGAAGAAAATTGCATGGCACAAAGTTCCTCTCTGCTTGTCTGTGGGATGGAATTTGGTCTCAGTGTTTTCCATGTGCTGGGATGTGCTCACCTAAAACTTTTGCCCACATGTCAGAGCAGGTTTGCAGATCTGTCAGGACACAATATGGCCCCTGACTCATGGGGGAAGCATGTATGGAAAAAAACCATGCTGTGCTTTTACGAATGCTTGTTTTTTCTTCTCTGTGTATGGTTTTATTTCCCACACCCTACTCCCCATTTTAAAAAGTGTTCAGTAATAAAAGCTAACTCCGAAAGGAAACGATCCAGGTAAGCCCTGCAGAATTTTACACTGCATGCATGAACAGGAAGCCTTTTCAGGAGAATTGTTTGATTAAAAAAATAAATAAATAAATAAAGGTTGCATTGATGCCCAGAGGGTTGGGTGCAAAATGGCTGCCTTGCTAAGTTTTTACTCCTAGTCTTGCACTGAAAATTCATGTGCTGTAGTTTTGATTGTTAGAAGTTACATCACACAAATTCTCCTCTTGGTTGCACTGGTGCAAATCCTATGTTAATTCACTGAAATCAAACAACAAGATTAATCTACATGGTCAAACTGGTTGTATTACTCTGGATTTAAACTGATAATGGAAGATAATTTGGCCTACTGTGAAAATAAAGATTGAAATAAAGCATAAGACTATAAGAACATAAGAATGACCAGATTGGGTCAGATCAAAGGTCCACCTGTCCAGTATCCTGTCTTCCAACAGTGCCCAATCCCAGATGTCCCCGAGGGAGTGAACAGATCAGGGAATCATCAAGTGATCCCTCTGCTGTCACCCATTTCCAGTCTCTGACAAACTGAGGCTAGAGACAACATTCCTACCCATCCTGACTAATAAATATTGATGGACCCAACCTCCATCAATTTATCTAGTTCCTTTTTGAACCCTGTTAAAGTTCGGTCTTCACACCATCTGCTGGCAAGGAGTTCCACAGGTTGACAGTGTGCTGCATGAGGAAAAACGTCCTTTTGTTTGTTTTAAAGCTGCTACCTATTGATTTCATGGGGTCACCCCTGGTTCTTTTTGTAGAAAGATCTTCAACAACACAGTGCTTTAGTAGGCAGCATTTCATCCTAAGGTGTCAAGAGGAATAGGAAGTCCATAGGATAATCAGCTTCTGCACTAGTGGGCTCATATGCTGCCTGACAATTTCTAGAGACCTATAACCAAATCATTTTCTTGAGTCTGATAGTCAGAGACCTTCCAAAAACATCTGGCAAAATTACGTTCCCCTGGTCACTGTCTTGTGCTGTTCAGTGCTGAATCACCGCCTCTCTCCCATGATCTAACACAGTGGTTCCCAAACTTTTTGGCATCACACCCCCTTTTTATTTTTGAGAAACCCTCATGCTCCCGCCCCAAAAAGAGCAGCAGAAAAAAAAAGTTGCCCTTTTAAGGCAGCCATTTTGAAGTCTGCCCGGGATGCTCCATCCTCCCCCCACCTCAGCCAGCCTGAGCTGCACATGTTCTGGCACATGCCTGAGCCAGGAAAGACAGAAAATACTGGACATTTCACATGGTATTTTCTGATTTTTTTTTTACCACATAGACCAGGCTCTTTCTTGTGGGGGAGATTGACCATGGCGGGGGAGGGGGGACTGGTATGCCTCGTGCCCCCCCTGGAATTTCTTTAAGCCCCCCCAAGGGGGCATCCCCCACCAGTTTGGGAACCTATGATTTAACAAATACAAGAGCATCTTGGATTCTGGTCCCTGATTCTGATCTTCACTGGTTTTACACCAGTGTTCTTTAATCCATGGACTCCTAAGATGGTTATAAATTAGAGGAGAATCAGGCTCCGTGCCTTCACACTTGGCAAGGGGATTGTATTGGAACAGCATTGTGTTTTCCATTCCCAA